TACGAGCAGAGGTTTGGCACCACCAAAGTATTCGCCTCATTAGCGAGTCGCCACTGGTCTGGTCCCGCAGCCGTCCGACCGGACGCCCTCCTGACGCTCAGACGGACGGGGAGCGCCCGGTCACCCACCACCACCCACAGCACCACGGTGTAGTCACCGGCTCCAGCGACTCACCAATGGGCAGTAGCGAGCTGTGCCCAGCTGTGACTGAGATTGGGACTGAGTTTGAGAGAACTGTGATAAAGGACAGACCCAGCTGGGGAGAGCGGTGACCGAGCTGTGACCAGTCTGGGGAGCAGTCATGACACGGAGCTGGGGAGAGCTTTGATCAAGTGCAGATCCAGCTTTGAAGAGCTGTGAAGTACAAACCGAGCTGGGGAAAGCTGTGATAGAGCTGGACAGGGACTGAGTTTGGACCAGCTATAGGACTGAGCTGGAGAGAGCTGACACCGAGCCGGATCGCCCTGCACCCGGCGATTACCGCCAGTCGACACGGTGTGGCGCCGGTCAGCGCCGACCGTTGTGAGGTAATGAGCGGATCACCGTCAGCGCGCTGAGCCGCTCGACGACCGCAGATATAACTGACAGCTGCCTGGTTAGCATAACCAATTAAACACCGCGGCCGCGGCCGGTGCGGAAAGGCCGCGATTCAATGTCAGTAGGTAGGTATCGGAGCAGATGTCATCAGGGAATTATGAGATGAGAGGAATAGTCATCGGGCCATAGCCACAGATGAGGCAGGAAAATAACGAGAACGGGATATTTGAAACTTTCATGTAAAGCACAATAGCGAGAAGCGCAGAGTGAGATTTATAAAGAGACGATGCTCCGATCTGGATTAATGCTGAAGAGAAAATGAAATAATGTCGTCATGACTCATATCCTGTTCACCACTGCAATAAGAAGTCTGAAAAAATGACAACGCTGGGCATAACAGTCTTCTTTTTAATTTCACGCTTTCACCTTAATTGTTCTTTTTCAGTTTCCTCTAAATTAATGCAAGATTTGGTAAAGGCATAGTTCAGAATGACACGTCCTCTAGTCCTATACCTACCTACACGTTTCCCTTATTTCTTCGGAAAATATTAATCAATCATACGTGGTCTGTCGAAGCACGATGTAATCACGTTCTGCAGAAAACTTCCACAGTTCTGCACAATTTTGAGTTTGTGCTGTCCCAAATCACAGGAAATTGAAAATCACAGGTCATTTCAGATGAAAAAAGCGAGGGAACATCGGACTGAGCCGACGGCTTCTTCACGTGTGGTTAGCTTTCCCCGTCAGCACTTGTTCTTTTGCTGCTGCTGATAAGCCGCTGTCTCATGTTACTATCCGGGCAAATCACATGGAGTTCCCAGGAAAGACATTTATAAAACTTCGAATAGCTGAAAAATGTTGGAAATGCATGTTCTTGGAACACTATTAAAAACAAAGTTGGGTACATGCATCAGGCATCATACAGTTAATTTCGTGTTATCCACGGACACGCTAGAACAGCGATTCACAAACATAGGGGAGTCCCATTGACAGCATATTCTGGAAGGTTAGAAGGGGAAGCTCTCAGATTCCGCTATTTCACGTTATGGTAACAGACATCTCATTTCCCCTAAAATCGCATTCTCATATAGGGAGAGGCATGAGGCGGAATAGTTTCCCGATAAAAGATAGGTAAGAAATCGGTAAAAAGTTAGAGGCCGTAGCATCTAAACGTCACAGTCCTCAGCACGATCACCCAAGGAGAGCAGCAATGAGTCGGCGCTGCCACCATCAGCCGGGGCACCCACTCGTTCCCCACCCACCGGCCACGACAGTGACTGGCAGCCATCCGGCACTTGCCGTAAATCACGGCGCTCATCTGCGCCGACCGCTGTCTCTCCCCTGTGAGCCCGCCCAACTGCCGGCGAGTCGCCGAGTCGTGACGACACCGGGACCCGGCCGGGGGTCGGCCGTGACCGCCGTGAGAGCGGCACCTCCGCACCCACGGCCGGTCAGCCGGACCGCAGACGGGGACGAGTCATATCCTGGGAACCTGCCACACATTCACAGCTAGAGCCGCGTCATATACCTATCCACAGCGATCCAAGTGACAAAAACCATCTCTGAGACCGAGGAGCAGCATAGCCAGTGATGTCGGCGAATGGGGTAGCACACTGCCCAGTGGCTACTAATGCAACGGCGACCAACGGAAACAAACGGCGACCAGAACGGTAGTGACCAGCGCCGGTCGGAACTGACCGGCGGTGGTCAGCTGAGCACCGGTCAGTGGTGGTCACAGGCGGTCTGTGGGGACCAGCACCGACCACTGCACTGGCCGGTGCACGAGGTGGCGACTGAGAGAGCTGGCACCTGGCAGCGGAGCGGGCGGCGACCAGCGGTGGTGATCAGCACCAGCCGGCACCAGTAACCACCTCCCAGCAGCGCTGCTCAGCACCAGCCGGCACCAGTAACCACCTCCCAGCAGCGCTGCTCAGCACCAGCCGGCACCAGCTACCACCTCTCGGCAGCGCGGCTCAGCACCAGCCGGCACCAGCCAGCACCAGCTACCACCTCTCGGCAGAGCTGCTCAGCACCAGCCGGCACCAGTTACCACCTCCCAGCAGAGCTGCTCAGCACGTCCAGCGGACGGCCAGGTGCGTCCAGCGCCGACCGGCCGGCTGAGGCGATGCCATCTTTGCCTCAGCCGCCGCGCCGCGCGCCGCGGGCTGATTGACTGCACGGCTACCGGGGCCGTTGTCGCGGCCAAATCTCGCTCAGCGTGTCATGTAGTGTTAGTCACAGCCGGCGCCGGATCCGAGCAGACATGGGGCTAACGCTCCGTTCATGCGTCGCCAATCTGCAAACGGTCGTTTAAGCGAAGTTTACACGATTGAGAAATGCATAACCTGGCGGCGGCGGCGGATTTAGCATGTTTGGACAGGGAATGCGGTCGTTATAGCTTTCAGACACCTGATTTGACGACACATTTCAATTAGAATTGCGAGCAGATGGTCACCGACAAACTATCACGAATGCCGACACGGAGTTGAGTTCACAGCTGTGGTCCGAAGTATCGCATATGTAAACACGCGAGAAAGGTGCATCAATCAAACATTGTCCGTTGCAGACAACGAAAGCAATGCACCTACTGCTGGGCAGCCAGAATAATCCTAGCAAGACATAAGACCGACTATTGGAGTAAAAAAGTAAGGTAACAATAATAACCTTTTGGTAATATCTGAAGGAAACCGAAAAGAATCCGAACCATACTTTCTGTGCCGTATCAAGCTTTTCTGGCGGCAAAGAACATGCAAATCATGTCAAAGACGATACCGGTCGGCATTCAAACGACAGACGTGTTCGACATAGACGTGTTCAGCTTCAAAAAGTCTCAGTGTATATAAATAAATTTAGGTAGGTTAGGTTTAGGTTAAAAAGTTAGGTATTGCATGCATTTCCGGCCAGAGCCCAGAACAAAGACTAATCAGGAATGAGTTCCAAAAACTTAACGACTGTAGGTAACCGAATATAACTTCCATAAGATTCACCCATTTAAAAAGAAAAGAAAATTAACCAACACAATAATGAAAGCTAATTTATGACTTATAAATAAGTTATCAAAGTTGCGCAGCAGTAACAACAGTAACACATGATGTCGTATGTGCTTATGACGGCCGATCCGCAGCCCGATATTTGCCACTCATTTGGCGGTGCGACCTGCGTGCGGGACGGAGAGCCAGACCCTTATTACAAACCCACGTGTTCCTGAATAATTGGCGTCACACGCGCGGCAGCGCCACGTGGCAACTGCAACAAGAAACGGCGGCCGTCACACGCCACGTGCAACGGATTGCACTCCCGTGTGTCGCGTAGCACACCACCTCTGACCCTAATATCCGGCCATTTCGATACTTAGCAGTGAATGCACCCTCGATAATTACTGTGCATAGATACAGACATGCAACACACCGGTAATTACGGGGGTGTTTGAGTGAGCTGTGATGACTGACATGAAATCCAGAGCTGAAATGGACGAGTAGTTGTAATGCTTCGGCAATCGCGTCACTGGCCACTGCAGCGACAACTCTGTTACTTGTTATAGTCCATTGCATTCTTCCAAGCCTTTAGCCTAAGCATCGAAAAGAGGGTACTTTTGAATTACCTATACCGACCAATGCTGCCGAAAACACGCTAAAATGCATCTCAGAAGAGAAACGACATTTTCAGTGACATGCTGGTTGTCATACCTCCCTATAGTATGTTCGTAAAACAATGTGTCCTGTAAACCTACTGGCCCTGGCCAATCATACAATGTCGCAATTCATTTATCCCATGCGCTAGCCAATGCCAATTAACAAACAATAGCGAGTGCTGTCTGAGTAATTTATAAACAAGGAACATACCTACTATAAGAGGGGTACGATTTATCGATAACGGCGGGAAGTCTACATGAATCATCATCAACATGGAAAATATAAAAAAGAATGCATTTACGTATGACCAAGTAGAAGAAGAGTGAAATTCGACAAAAGCGAATTATTCATTAGCAGTTTCCAGATAGGAACAAAGATGGTAAAAGAAATGGTGGTAAAGAATGACAATTACAGTTATTGCACGCGGCTCCATTAGGGAATGAAACGTCCTTTGATATTTATGAAATAACATTTGAAGCATTCATTACTTGCCAAACAATATAATACGAAGTGTTCATCGTGAATTATTACCTGTGTTTTACAACATGAGTTATCCAAGGGCTCAGCAGCAGAAATGGTTTTGAGAAACGTTTAATTTAGCTCCGCCCTATGGCGATTCGAGTTTAGCTTGACCTGGGTAGCGTTACGTACCCACAGACGCCCCGGTAAAATGACTCAATAGAAATGAGGAGAAGCTTCATGCGGACACCTTGGCTGCCTATATACAGATTCATTTTCCATCAATGCTAATCGATTATTGTGATGCTGCGGTAAACACTAAACAACCACTTAATTCCTGAAGGGCCGTACCTGGGATATGACACGCAAAGGTATTTGTAGGTAATATTTTTCACAGATATGCATTACAAATATCTTAAAACACATCACAGTTGTAGTCGATACACTATTAAAACAAAATTCGGATATGTCAGACATATATGGCACATGATAGCAAATTGATCATCTGGATGGAACCTAGGACTAAGCAACCATAGACCTCGACATACAGGGGTCTATGATGCATTTTATGTACTGGCGCGGTTGTCAAATGTCTGAACGAAGTAATAAATTCGTTGGAATGAACACTTGCTACTTCTTACGCATACCAATATTGGTATCCCAATAAACACTGTATAATGGTTGTATTTACCCGTTCCGCCTTTTTAATGCATGGTAATGTCCGAGAGAATGAATTGCTAGGGACGGTGGTGTGAGGAATCTCTCGAAATGCATTCATTATCTAAATAATGAGAACAGCCAGGTTCTGGAATTCGGGACGCGCGAGACTTCAGATGTTTGCCAGTAACCCGAGAGTGCGCTAAAAGCACTAATCCGAAGTCAATTAGCAACGTCGCAACACCATTAGCTGGCACGAAGCGGCACTTCCCTGCCGGAGGTTTCACATTGCACGCGTCGCCGCCGCCGGCGCCGCCCGACTGGCAGGACAGGCGCTGCCGAGTCGCAAACCGGACCGGTCGGTAGCCGATAGATATCGCAACAAGCCAATTAACCCTGGAGAATTATCTGATCGGCGCTATCGGCTGTCAGATCGCCATCGCCAATGATCTCCAGAATGGTGTCGCTGCCACGGCCGCCGCCGCCAGCGCCGTCTACCGACGCCTCCACTAAGCTCGAGTCGAAATTCTCTCCGACAGAGAGCACCAGCGTCTCGCGCGTATCGTCGTCCCCGATCGCGGTGCCGTCGTCGATGACGAGCGTCAGCATCTGCGTGCCGTCCACGTCCGTCTCCACGGTCTCGATGTAGGCCTCCAGCGACTGGTCCTTGCCGCCGCTGGCGTGCTTGGCCTTCTTCATGTGCCGGCGCAGCTGCCCCTCGTAGCAGAACCGGCTGTCGCACTCTGTGCACTTGTACCGCAGCCGGCCGTGCACGATGTTCCGGTGACGCCGCAGCTTCTTCATCATGTTGAACGTCTTCCCGCACACTGCGCACGCCAGTTCCGCCTTCCTGTGCACCGTCTGAATGTGGTGTGCCAGATTCGACCGGAACCGGTACGTCTTGCCGCACTCTGGACAGGCGCAGTTTCTGGCGCCCGTGTGCCGCGCCACGTGCTGCTCCAAGTCCTGTCGCGAGGTGTACTTTTGCGGGCAGTACGGGCAGCAGAGGCCCCGCTCGTCGTGCAGCCGCTGGTGCGCCTGTAGCGTAGCCGCACGCTGGAACGTCCTGCCGCACGTGGTGCAGTCGAAGCGGCCGTCGGCGGCGTGACTGCGCTCGTGGCGCTGCAGCGCCGCCCGGCTCGGCAGCTGCCGCCGGCACACGGAGCACTCGAGCGCGGCCGAGCCGCCGCCGGAGCCGCGGGTCCGGCGGGCGTGACTGCGCCGCCGGTGGGCGAGCAGCAGCGACTTGTCGCGGAACCCCTCCCCGCAGAGGCTGCAGCGGTAGCGCGAGGCGGCGGGGGCGGCAGTGTCGGCGGTACTGTCTGCGGGGATCGCGCTGTTGGTGCCGGTGGGGTCAGTGAGGTCGTCTCGGACCGTCTCGCTGCTGCTGGTGATGGTGATGTTGGTGGTGGTGGTGGTCGTGGGGACGCTGGTGACGGGGTCGGTGAGGGGTGTCGCTGTCATCTCCACACCAGTGGAGGGGGGAGCACCTGCCTGCGGTCCGGGGTCCGCCGCGGGAAGGCTCAGCTGCTGGACGGCTGTGACCGATTCCAAGAGGTCGAACGTCACGTCCTCGGCCGTCCGAGGTGGCGATGGCACAGGTACCTGTTGGAGAACGGCACTTGTAACTCTCGGAGGCACAAACAGTACGCAATGAGAGCCAAACACCCAGCAGATCTATGTGACGTTAGTTAAAAAACTATCTTCCATTTAGTTGTGACGATATTTGATCTCGACAACAAACGAGGCGTGCTGACTGCAGACTGACATTAGCAGATTTATGTCACACCGTTCAAGATCAGAATCGAACAAATAACAAAAACTACCAAAAAAAGAAACAAACAGAAGTGAGTTATTGACACTCAATGCCCACTCACCAGGTCGGGTGCAGCCTCCTTCCCCTCCTCTCCCGCCTGCAGGATCTCGATGTGCACGGCGGCGGGCGTCTCTGCGCCCTCCGCCCCGGTCTGCCGGTGTCGGGCGGCGGCGGCGAGCACGGCGCGCGACTGGCGCGGCTCCAGCAGCATGGCCACCAGGTGGCGGTCGGCGCCGTCAAACACGCTCTGGATGGTGGAGCGCAGCGCGCGCGCCCGCTCCGTGGCCGCGTCAAAGTCGGCCAGCAGCTGATGGCACTGGCGGCACACTGTCTGCAGCATGTGCCGGTCCCGAGCGGAGACCAGCTCCGAGATGACATCACGCAGCGGACGGCCCGAGCCGGCCACCTTCTCCTCGATACTGACGGCCGCGCCGGGCGGCGACAGGCAAATCAGACACAGCGACAGGTGCCGCTCGGTAGACATGGCCGGCTGGATGGGGTTAGGTGGCTGTCTGTGGATAGTTCAAAATCACGTCAAACAGCCAGAAAATACACTGGGATTATCCAATCTGTCTGGCTGTATTTTCAAAAGTACATCCCGTTTAGACCAGTTTTTCATGTTTTGAGTCATATCAAGAGACTGTGAATCACACAATTGCATACAGACAATCTTCCAAAAACCCAATCAACCAGCACAAGTGCCAAGCAATTATCAAAATATCACATAACACTGGGATGAGCCTGATGAAAATAAATCAGTGTGCTAAGCGAATGTCCAAGCCTTTACCTGTGATTATGCTAAACAAACATTTTGGAGACATAATAAACTAGCTTCAATGTTTCTGAATTGACAGATTGACAGAGGCAGAGCCCTGGCTAAGCAGAGTTTCTTAACTGGGCTCTGATCCCACCACCTGATCAGGTGATTCTTGGGAAATGGGAGAATTTGGATGTCAAAGTGTAATGTGCTCATTAACACATGACCGGGTGGGCCTCTCAGCCAACTTTGCCATGGTGGTTCTTTTTTTTGCCACACCAGGTTATCTAGGAAAGAAAGCAGCCTCAAAAGATGCTGCAAAGAGCAATGTATAGTTCGCTAGAAGACCTTTCAGAATCATGCAGGTCATTTTTCAATCAGGTCATCACTGAGGTCACTGGAGGTCACCAAAGGTAAAATTTTCACGAAATTCTGTTCCCGATTTTGACAACTTTTTACAAATCAGCATATAAGTAAGGAACCAATAGAGCTACAGCACTGCAGCAAAGCACATTCGATAGCTCTTTTAAAGGCCTTTCTGAGTATTGTTCTCATGTTTGGCCTAAGGACAACGGTTTAGCTTAGCCTCCAAAAGACAAAAGTCCCCAAAATTTGACATGTTTGCAAAAAACATTTTTGAATAACTTTTAACTCCAAGCTTTTGAAGTAAAGTTAAGTATACATTTGAAGTAAAAAGTGTACCAAAATGAATCAAATGATTGATTCCATGCTCATATTTGGTCATGGCTTCTCTTACCAGAATCGGATTATTGATGCCTCCATATTTTGATTCAAAAGCCTAGTTTGCCCAGCTTATATGACATGGATGATGTCTAAAATACGTACCATGTAACGAAGATAAAAAGATGGTATCTTTCAACCCAAATGCACCAACATATTTAGAGAAAATCACAAAATAATAACCCCGCCACCGACATCTCTCCCCCACTCAATAGACGCGTTTACATAGGGTTTGTTGCAAGCTTATATCTCCGTCCGTGATGCTGCAAAAGATGCTTATGGTGCTTAACAATTTACAAAATGATCCCATCTAAATATTTGAAGACCACTGCATCGAAATTATCGCCACATTAACAAGCTAGAGCCTCGTCAAATATGCTATGTAAACCAAGGCCCTATATATGTAAACCGGGTTAATGCTCTCAGCGTCATAGCACGAAACTTGTGCGCAGCTAATGTCATCAGTAAGGCTTCCATATTGTGGTATGACAGTTTGACGTTTGTGAAAAGCGATAATGTGAACACATATATATTGCACATGTGCAATATATATGTGTTCACATTATCGCTTTTCACAAGGCTTCCATATCTTGCTGGCAGGGCAAAATGTGGCAAGATCAACGAAAGAAACTGTAGACGAAGGAAAATGTAACAGACAAGCAATGCATTATCATTTCTGAACTTGCTGTAAATTCAAAGGCTGGAATTGGGAAGGAAGCGTGTTATACACGCGTCCAATTGGGAATATTAGCTAATGCAAGCGTATGATCACTTAGATGTATGAGGAATAGGGAATAGATTCAAAGATAAGTGAAAGCCTTACCAGCCTGGCAGCTGGGGCATTCCAGGACGATTCAACAGCTCATGGGTGCAAATTAACACCCGACCCCCTCAGATTTTCTTCAAAATTGCTCTATATGGTTATTCTGTGTCCAGAAGCCGAATCTGAGATTTTTAGACCTGTAGGAGCAACGGTTTTTGAGTTATAACATTGGGAAATTTTAGAAAGTTTAAAAACATCATTGTATTTTAGTAGCTATATCTAATCGAAAACTTTTTTTAAACTATAAAAATTATACATATTTGAATTCGCCACATCACAAGCTTTCAGATGGTATGCAAAATTTTTCAAAATTTTGAATTTTGAATTTTCAAAAAATTGTTCAAAAATTTCTTTCAAATTTTTCAAAGTGTGGCCAGTTAAATAAAATTTATTTTTTTAGCTTTTATTAATGCTTAGGGTATTGGGAAACTATATTGTGAAAATTGGAGATAGGTATTTTTTATAAATATTTTATTTCATTTTTTTTACTCTCCATGTAAATATACCATTTTGCTTTGATATGGTGCCGACGGTGCTATCTCGGGAACGGATGATCGTAGCGCGCCGGACGAGGCGGCAATGGAAAGATCTCAACAAGATGGATCTAGGCATTGTCCGAATGTTGTTCTTAAAGGTCACGGGTCAGGTCAAGGTCAGGTCACGAAAGGTCACGATGAATAACAAGGGATTATGTGCATGCGATACATGTTTTATGGGTTATTTTCCAATCCAAAGTCAATGGTGATGAGCATTTGACGATTCGGGACAAAATCAGGTCAGTTCAGGTCAGGTCACGGTCAGGTCAACCAATCCCTTGTTCAACGAAGGAAATACAACACACATTTTGGTGTCCAGCTCGTTGAAATGTATTGGGCACACATATCACCAACAATACAGTGTACAGACAGCCACCATACAGACACACGGCAGGGGTGCTAGCAAGTCTACGCGGGCTCACTTTCGTCTTTTCGGTGCCCTACTGCGGTGCACTTTCACCAGCCGGCCTGGTCCCCCTGACAACTTTGAGACTCGCAGTGTCTCGTGGTTGACCGGAATAAAGCAGTGCAGACTCTGCGTGCCTTTCACTGCCACCGCTTTGCTGAAACGCTCCTTGAGGTGTTCTGCAGCTTTTTCGACTTCGACCCTCGACACGAATACAAAGTTCACTGTAGTCTCGAATTTGTCACTTAAAAACTCAAACATTTTGGTCGCGTTTGTGTTTGCTCCCTTGTGGGCCTGCGTAGACTCTCAAGAGCGGTCGCTCTCTTCACGGTGCCTCCCACGCCGTCACATGCGCCTTTCCCGTACGAGGTGGCAAAAAATTGCCAGTCGCAGTCTAGCCCAAAGTCACTTTTGTGAGCGCAGATATTTGAAAAGTTGAAGCGGTTTTTGTACTGTGCTGCTGAGTCGTCTGAAAAGTATCTGATTTTAGTCAAAGACGGAATTTTTTCCTTCAGTCGTGGAATCAGAGCCTTTTGGAAAGCATGGACAGCGGTCGTGTTGTGCTTTAGATTATCTGAGATAATGCAGAAGCTCTGGTGCTGTCCCTCTCCATTCTCCCTCCAGTACACCACGAACGGGTGAACGGTGCACTGTGGCGCGTCCCAGTGATGACTCTGCACCTCATTCTGTATGACGAACGTATAGTTCTCACTGGTCACCAGCGACCAACGTCACCCTATGCGTTTATGACACCCGATGATTTTATTGTGCTGTTTTGCCGCATGGACCGGCGCGTCGTCTGTCATCGCGCCAGGGCTCATTCGAGCGAGCCGAGCCCGCAGTGACTGGTCTGTCACAGGCGCAGATGATATAGCGATAGGTTTCGGGATGGGCCAAATGGAAATTTGGAAACGGAGACAAATGTAAAAATTATTCATTTCATTTCACTCATTACTCTAGTATAGCCATATAACTTTCATACAATTTTATTTCATACAAGTTCATAGTTCATACAAGTTCATACAATTTTATTAGGTAGGTATTTTAATGCCGACATAGAAACAGCAACTTTACACATTGACCTTGGCATTGGCCTAATCTGACCTGATTTGGTCCCGAATGGTCAAATGCCCATCACCATTGACTTGGAATCGGAAAATAACCCATAAAACATGTGTCGCATGTCCCTAATCCCTGTTTATTCATCATGACCTTTCGTGACCTGATTTTGACCTTGACCTCACCTTGTGATTGCATATTTACTGATTCACCGCCTCTAAAAATATGTTGGACGCATGCTGTGCGATTTTCACATCGCTTCATCATTATAAAAGTGCCTCAGGAGCAGCCGGGGAATGAGAACCTGGAATTTTGGTCTTTGACCTGACCTTGACCTGACCCGTGACCTTAAAGAACAACATTCGGACAATGTCTAGATCCATCTCGTTGAGATCTTTCCATTGCCGCCTCGTCCGGCGCGCTACGATCATCCGTTCCCGAGATAGCACCGTCGGCACCATATCAAAGCAAAATGGTATATTTACATGGAGAAAGTAAGAAAATAAAATAAAATATTTATAAAAAATACCTATTTCTAATTTTCACAATATAGTTTCCCAATACCCTAATCATTAATAAAAGCTAAAAAAATAAATTTTATTTAACTGGCCACACTTTGAAAAATTTGAAATAAATTTTTGAACAGTTTTCGGAAAATTAAAAATTCAAAATTTTGAAAATTTTTGCATACCATCCGAAAGCTTGTGATGTGGCGAGTTCAAATATGTATAATTTTTATAGTTTAATAAAAGTTTTCGAAGAGATATAGCTACTAAAATACAATGATGTTTTTTAACTTTCCAAAATTTCCCAATGCTATAACTCAAAAACTGTTGCTTCTACGGGTCTGACAATTTCAGATTCGGCTTCTGGGCACAGAATAACCCTGTACAGCAATTTAGAAGCAAATCTGAGGGGGTCGGGTGTTATGCACCTGTTGAATCGTCCTGGAATGCCCCAGCTATGCAAATTAAAAAAGCAATGCATAAATGATTATCAGCCTTTAAGTTCATCAAGACTCGGCGCTCGGCATTCGAACAGCGAGTAAAAATAACAATATCTGAATCAATTGTGTGTGCAATGATGAAAACGAAAAACCTGCGTCCGACAGGTTGCAGTAACCAAGGTTGTCGTAACCAAGAGAGAAACAAAATACCAAAACCTAAGGAACTGTAAAGCGTAGCAGCTGCGTTGTCTCACTCTCCCCCCCCCCCCCCTCCAGTGCACACTGCACTACTGCAGCTACATGACCATCGCCCTGCAACCAAAGGTACGGCGTAGCTCGCTGAGGTATTTCCTGTTATTTCGCTCCACACAAAGCAAAGTACGAATTTGAACAGCACTCCCTGCCCGTATCAATGACCGAATACATATCGCAGGTCGAGCTCCAATCACAAAACGACAAACCATCAGGACACGTAAAGTCGATCAGGGACCTCTTAGCTCTAGCAGTTTGAATCACTGACCCATAGACATCGCTACTACACAAGTGATTTATTGGGGACAAGTGGCACGTAATCGAACTCTCGATAGTTAACGGTAAATTAATACCGAAACGCAATGACATTCCATCCGCTCATCGAACGCAGTAACCAATTGCATTGAGTCGAAAACGCGCTCTATTGCAAGTAGCAGACAACGTTCGACCAATAACACCAGTCCAGAGTCGAATCACCCGTTCCTAGCGCTGTTTAACACACTACGCACACGCACACAGGCGCTCTGGCCGCGGCCAGCAGACACACACACACACCGGCGGCTCCGCCTTGTGCCCGTGCCGCGGCGGGAAAATCACCGGCACTGTAGCGGCCGCGGCTCGGCAGCGTCCTGGAGACGGGCGCGCCGGCCGCTCGTCCCCCGCTCGCGGGCCACCGCCGGCCGGCGACCAAGGCACGCGGCGCCGGCCTGCCGCCCGGCGCGGGCAGCACCACAGGACCATCTAGCGCCCGGTAGGAGCGCACCAGCGGCCACCATCAGCCGATGATGAGTCCGCAGCCCAGCCGGAACTGGCTCTTGGGGTGGTTGAGCATGCCGCTGAGCGCAAATGTGAACGGCAGCGGCTGCAGCTTCTTCTCTAGGACGGCGCCGACCGTCCAGTTCGAGTCCACCGTGCCGCGGAACACCAGGTTCGCCTTGGGCAGGTCCACCTGGTAGCCCACGCTGCCGACCGCCTCCTGCATGCGCAGGTTCGTCTCCAGCTCGCAGCCGAACTGGATCTGATCGGAGGACTTTTGCCAGTAGCAGAGGTGCGCGCCGGCGGCGCCCACCGTGCCGCTCACCGTGTACGAGGGCGCCTTGTACTTGCCGGCCACGGAGAGGATGGCGATCTGTCCGCCGGGCACCTGGGCGCCGTACTGGTAGGCCAGCTCGGCGCCCAGCGCCACGCGCGGCGTCACCGACTGCAGGTAGTGGCCCACGATGACCCCCGTGTCGTTGATGAGATCGATGTTGGCCATGGTCAGCGAGCTGGTGAAGTCGCGACCCCGGTAGTCGGCGGAGAACTGTGACGCCATGAACTTGGAGTTCTGCACCTGCGCCACGAACTTGCAGCGCACCTGTTCGCTGAACTGGTGGATGATGTTGGCGTTCAGGTTTCCGGACGGGTCGATGTCCCCCAGCAGCACGGGGAACGCCTCGGTCGGACTGAACTGCTTCGTGCCCACGTACGTAGCGCCGAACCGGTAGCCAGACGGAGTCACCGAGCTCATGTTCAGCGTGTGCGAGATCTGGAAGTGGTTGCTCAGGCCCTTGTTGACCATGATTTTTGCACCCTCAAAGTTGACTGGGAAGACGTCTTTGCAGGCTTTGTGCAGTTCGTCCATGGAGCCGGGGTTTTCCAGGACGGGTTTTGCTGCTTTGTCCTCGGTGGGCGCTGCGGCCGGCGCCGGAGGTGTGCTAGATGCCATGACATTCCCCATCTTCCAAAAACTAGGTGTGGTCTTGGCAGCTTATGATCTGAAATAGCAGATAAAACTATTTGTAAAACTCAAAAGTATCTTTATTTCATCTAAGAGGGCATTCTGAGGCTCAGCACACATCTTATGACAATGAAAAGCCTCAAAATTCCAAACTGCCATGCATGACAATCTGGACGAGATCTCGTCGTTGGTGCGGACTACATCACTTGTTGCTGATTTCTGAGGTGTGGTGAATGTTTTGCATACAATAGTGTGGACCAAATAGTAGCGACTGCTAAACCACTGCAGTAACAAGATTGATAATTGTGCACCAATGTTTCTATACTGGCCACAAGTGAAGACTCAGTTACTTTCAAACAATTTTACCTCACCAAAAAGCCTTCCCCAGTTCTGTAATGCTTACTTTAGGACTTATTTGGTGCTGGCAAGTGAAAATTTCCAGTCTTGTTTGGTGCTGGATAGTGGTGTTATTCAGACAACAGTTTTCAGGTATGATGCTATTGCTGTTCAGGTTTATTTAAATTTCTGTTCATTCTATAGTTCATTTGCTTGATCTTTAAATTACCTGTGGACTGCACTGTGATAAGAGGAGAGCCCAGGTTCACATGGCTTCAGCATTGATTAATATGGGAACTTTTGGTTGCAATGTTCTGCAGTTGGCAGGCACAGCCAGCTGAAGTCAATGAGTGATAAAGGCTGTGTCTGAATAGGTTAACAAACTAAGCTTAATTTTTTTTTCTAAAATGCCCAAATTCTGATGAGACTGTGGAGTGTGGAGGTTATCAGCCTTCACCCCATCTGCTTATAGCAAACTTTGGCTTGGTTAATCAGTAGCTCAGACAAGGTCCTATATACAATGCATGCTCATAATAAGGCCCAAGCAAGGCTCATCACAATGTCATGGTAATAAGGGTCAAACAGCTGTAATGCAAACCTATGAATAATGAAAATGACCCAACTTTGGGGCTCCTCTCCCAGTTCCCAGGCATCTGCTATATTTGAAAATGAGCTAATTTATATCAGATGAAAAACCAAAACAAGACAAACAAACAAAAGTTTCAATGACTTTTTATTTGATTTTAAAGTTTCAACGCTATCCAAGCATAATCAGAGCACTGCAAAGTCAAACTCAGATTTTTTGCCATAGTTTACAACATACAAATCCCTCATTAGCAAACATGCTAAGTTGGAACCACCAGTCAGGTCAAATTTGAAACTGCCACCCTGTCCATGTCAGTATGCTGCTATTTCTTGATATCACTGAACATACCAGATGACACACTATGGAGAAAGGGATGAGGCAGTCCAGTCCTGCTGTTAAGAGCAACAAATCATAATTCCTACATAATGTAGGCACCTACGTTCAGTGCCTATAGTAATATAATATAAAAGAACGATAAATAGATCTTGTCTGATTGTGACAACCTCAGATCAGGAGGTACTTTAATATCCTACATATTAATCAAGATTAAAAGTATTTAGTACACATCCACATTCACGCTAATAAATCAGAAAAATATTGATAAGTGCCGAAAATGCAGAAAAGAAAAGCAAAAAATTAAAGCCGGCGCAGGCATTCTGATTCATCGGACTTCGTCAATTTAATTCGCGAACTATCCAGCAGAAAATGATTGGCTTACCTATTTGTTATTATATATAGTAGTCTGCTGCATGTAAAAATAGCCTTCCACCACTTCTTTATCAAAAATATGTTATTATATGATAAATAATCGCTACCACGTCTATATTTTTCTCACAGAGAGAGCACACACGTCCATGCGTGGTGACGAAAATGGCGTGTCTGCGCCACATTTCCTCAATTTAATAAAAGTCATGCTAGCTAAATCAAAATAGTGGCTCACATACTCATGAAGAGCAATAATTGACATTACTCAGGTAGTTAAAATGCAAAACTAGGTACAAAAACTGGCTAAAAACATATACACTCACCGTGCTATGATTTCAAAATTGATTTTGAGGCAAGTACGTCAACAATTCATTCGAATAAAGGCATCATAGGATTACAAGCATAGTTCATAATTATAATATTCAACCATATAAAATACTTATAGTTATTTATAGTCATCGTGTAAAACACATTGTGCGCGAGTCACTTCGGCTTGTCAATTTGTCAAAAAAATACATATTGGTGATTTTTCTCATTTGATTACTTGATCATGATAAATCTGTGGATACATGCATATTCCATATATCCTTTTGCTGTGCTTTTGTTTACTGAAATATACCTGAACTAAGCTTTTGTGCTTTTCTCGCAATCTACTGGATGTAATTTCCTTTTTTCTAAAAAAATATTATATAACTTACTTTTCATTTGATATTTTCCCTTGATATTGCCTGACAATATGCAAGATATATGAACAAATCTGTTTGCTAATTTTTACAGCTATTTAGTCATCAACAAAGTGCCAAATTTGCTTGCTGGCACAAAACTGACGCGGTCAGTCATTTCCCTGCAGTCATTTGTTTCGTGAAGTGGTTTCGTCAAGGCCGGTTTCGTGAGTGGATGTGGTTTCGGTGGTTTCGGTGAGTGTTGTGGGAATTCAATTTCGGTATTTCGTGGGTGATAAGTAGGTGGCGTTATATTTTAATATTGTTCAGTTTCGTTAGATTTTACTGGTGGTACATATAGCTGACGTCTTTCAGTTTTTTTTTAACTTTCTTCAGCTGTTCTTTTCCCAAAGGAAATTACCGCTTTCTTTATGAGTTTTCTGTTAGTTTTATAATTTTTCGCTTTCAATTATCAGAAAATAAATAAATAAATGAATTTGTAAAATATTTTCATATAGGAAGAACTATTTTTCATCGTACGCAGAGGCTAAAAACTGGGTTTGCAGTGGAAGCTTACCAGGTATGCATTGACCAATCTTTTTGCGTAGGTAGGTAGTTTAAAGGTAGTGTGCCAGCTTTCCTGGACCGTATGGAGTTAATGGCCCAGATAAGGAGAACCAGATTTTTAGAACTTATCCATACCTTCAAAACTCATGGAAACGTCTTAAATTCTTCAAATTTTGAGTACCCCAGTGCGAAATTCGCCCCGACGGGTTGTCGGTCGTACCCCAACCACATTTCACACCACTATGAACAATAAATGCACACACTGAAATCGCTATTACCGATATGCTCATCCAATCAAGTTTCGATAAACCCGTTCATCATCATCTCCTGCGGTTTCGAACACGCCTGTTAGGTGGCTTCTGATGCTCGTCGAGGTCGGAATTTCCAAATACGCGTGGTGCGTCGGGCCGCGCGCTCTGACTTCGGCCAAGAAAAATGCGTCAGCTGATCATTGTCATTTCTGCCACTTGCGTGTGGTGAAATGGGGTCATAACTTATAAGACGGCTTTTTCATATCAATTATTTTACATAAAATCATATTTCAAACCATAAATAATGTTCGACAGCCAAATAAAAGAAACAATACCAATACGGGCTTACAGTTTAAGGCTCGACATTGTGTTGTCTACGATTAGACAGCTGATAACTCATTCCCGTACGTCGTATGGTCGTAACACTATAATGACCTTTGCTTATTGTCACAAGTGCGCCGCATTCGCGATTGTTGCCCGACGCCTGTTTGCAGGTGAGCCCACTACAGTTGTTATACATATCTAAAAACCGAAAAACTTTTAGGCGAAAAAGGCACTATTCCAGGCCCATTTTTGATTTTTTTTGCGATATTAGGTAAAAACAGAAGCTTCTTATCCTAGGAAAAATAAAATGGGAAATCTTTCAAAGGTGGCACACTACCTTTAAAGGGACCCTCCCACCTTAACATTAGTTTTGAGTTGAGATAGCCAAGTTTGCGGCCAGGCTCAGAAACCACCATTTATCCTGGTCGCAACCCCCGCAGCTTTATGATGTTCAAGAAATTTCTTCCCTTTACTTGCAGGGTGGGACCAGCGTGGTCCCTATCTCTTAACCATTACGGGAATCTGATGACGTCATCAGGCTTTCGAACGTCCGTTAAATATTTGACTAAAACGTTTTGTAGCACGCGGTGGTATATGCTGCTTTGCGCGCAACAAATGCCGCACTTTCAAATAAAGTCGCTAGGAACAGCGGAGATCCCAAAAAGTAAACAAAAGTAAAAGTCTAATATCTTGAAAACCGGTGAATATTTTTCGATGAAATTTGGTAAATATTCGTTTTTGCTCTTTCTGAACCGAGCGACATCACTTTCATGCCAATTCATTAACTTTTTTGAAGGTGGGAGGGTCCCTTTAAACAAAACCAACTGCATGCTGATTGGCTGATGATTGGTCTCTGCCTGAGCTGGCTGCATTCTTTACATTCTTGCACCCACCACCCGGCACCTTTTGCATTGTTACACAAGGCAGAATATTCTGCTGTGTGAATTGTGAAACTGATTTCAGTTTCATGAAAGAGCAATGATCAATTTGCATTCTACATAACCTAACATCCTTTCTTGTAAGGTTATGTATTTAAACATTCAGGGCTGAGGCCTTGGGAATGTTTGAATAGGTATTTTTGAATTCAAGGCTCAACAAACAACCTCTCTTCTCCAGAATGTCTTGAGCTGATGTATTGAAGTGAACAATTCAACAATGGCTCCAGCAAGGCTGAAGTTTTCAGAAGGTATGTTGTACACTGAATTCAGGACTTCAAGCGATACCTAGTGTTTTTGGGATGCTCTTCTAAATTTAGATCTTACACACTACAGATGATAAGTAACTGTAGTGATGGTAGTTGATAGCAATCTTATTACATGCGTGGCTATTAAATGTTAAACTTATGGGTGGGATGTTTTTTCTGAATGCTGCAAGACAATGCCAATCATTCTGTGTGATGCTATTGCACTCTGTATTTCTAACCTCAAAGTGGTGTTTGTTCCAGGACCCATGATGTTTAAAATGCACATTTATGTTCCAGGAGAGAAGGTCCTATGCTTTCATGGACCTTTGATATATGAGGCAAAATGTGTCAAGACACGTGTCAAGGATGGGAAAAATCAATATTTTGTGCATTATGCTGGCTGGAATAAGAAGTAAGTTTTAAGTTTTGTATTTGTTTTCCAGTTCACTGATATTGATTTGCTTGTTTAAATGTGCTGTTTTCTTTCTTATTGAACATGTTATGATTGTATGCATTTGTGTTATGATTGTATGCAGTCTGCGACTGACCGCCGCCAGGTCAGGTCACGCGAGCGAGCGCTCCGCTGTACAGTGACCGGTCGCGAGTCGGCTGTGGCGTGTGGTCGGTTTGAGCCGCCAGAGAGTGAAGGTGATAGGTGTCTGAGTGATCACCGGCGGCAGCGAGTGACCAAACTCTTGATCAGCGATGGATGCTAGCACGCTGAAGAAAACAGTGCTGGAGTGTTTGAAGGACGGGGAACTGCGCGGAGAGTTCCAGTCGCTTATCCAGGAAATGGTGACCGGAGCTGTGGCTGAGGCGATGGCCGCTCGAGACACGGAGATCGCCGAGCTCAAGGACCAGCTGAAGCGCACCACGGACCAACTAAACGACCTGGAGCAGTACTCCCGACGCCTCTGCGTAAACATAACAGGAGTACCAGAGACGACCGGGGAATCGACGGATCAAATTGTCACGGACCTAGCCAAGATGGCCGGTGTTGCCGTCACTCCGAGCGACATTGATCGTTCACATCGCATTGGTAAGCTCAGTGATGGGAAGAGTAGACCAATCATTGTTCGGTTTACGAACTTCACCAAGCGACAGGAATTCTACAACGCCCGGAGAGAGCTGCGGAAGCCGCGACCTGTCCGCGGATCCACAGTGTCTGCAGAAACGGCCGGCAAAACCTTTGTCTCAGACAACCTCACGAAGCTAAACCAGCACACGATGTACGTTGCCCGTAACATGAAAAAGGAGGGCAAGATACACTCCGCCTGGACCGACGTGGGCAAGATGAAGGTTCGGGTGAAGGAGGGAGGCCAGACGAAGATAATCAGGTCGCTTGAGGATCTTTACGCAGTTGCCGACCCAGCTCGCCAGCCTGGGGCCGCCCCTGCCGAGTCCAGTAGCGGCGCCCGAGAGAGCTCCCGTGGCGCATCGGGTCGGGGCAGGAGCGTGCGCGGTGGTAGAGCCGCCCAGTAGCGCCCCGTGCATGGCGCGGCCCGCCCCACGCCGAGACGCTTGGCGCCGCCCCTGCGCTGCGGTGCAGCTGTCCTGGTCAATTCCGCGGCGTCTCGGACATGGTGTCTGCTCGACCTGGCCACGCGTTATCTGTCTGCGGATCTTCCCACCCACTCGCCTCCGGCGGTGTGACTCAGTGAACTCTGTTGACCTGAGCTCTCCAGCTCGCCGTTTGGTCCAACCGGACTGAGCTCAGTGCTGTCAGAGTGACTGTAATCAGCCATAGACATACTACAGCGATTCGGCGCAGCAAATCAGTGGCGGCTGTCAGTGCTGTGCCGAGCTCGGCGTTCACTGCTGTCGCCCCCACTGACAGGAGCTACCTGTGCCCGGCGAGCCACCGTAGTCGCGCCCACAGACAGTAGCCCGACCGCGACTGCGCCGTCTCGGGAGGGAAAGAGGACTCGGGGATCGCGGCGGGTACCTGGGAGAGAGGGCCAAAACGAGGGCGGGGAGGGGGAGGGAGGGTGTGGAAGGGTGTTTTGGGCTGGGAACTGGGAGTGGGTGTGGGACGGTGGGCCGCTGCTGGTGTTTTATACAGTTTGTTTGCTTTTGTTTGCCTATCATGTGATAGTCTGTCTTTCTCAGTTTCACAGGCATATTATTTTTCTTTATTTTAGTTTTATTCCTTGTTTGCAATCATGTGTTTGCCTGTTTCTGTCTGATGTTAAATTGTTGGAGTTTGTTGAATTGCCATAAAGTAGAGTCGGCATATATTTATTTTTGTTTGTACATTGCCAAGTTGAATGAATTGAACCATTTGCACTTAGCTGATACATAACATACATGCTCGTTTTTCACCTGTCACTCGCTGTCGCCGCCCATCGTTTACCAGCATGTGTTGTGTTGCAGTAGCCGCCGCCGTTCGGCCCGGGGTGCCCGTCTGCCGCGCTGCCTTCCCGCCCGACTCGGCACCAGTGGTGGTGACCAGCAGCCGGCCGCTCTCATCGTCCAGACCAGACTCTCTCGGCTCTACTCCGGCGCAGGCTGGTGCACCTCCAGCCGCTCACAGTCCCAACATCCCTCTCATCATCCTTCGAGAACCTTACAGAATGCCCTTTGCACAATCACCCATAAGATTACAATTAATAACTTTAGCCCAGCCCGCCAGTCATGGCGTGTTCCCCACATTGACACTAACGAACTCGCAATGGTCACTAAACAACCTTTACAAGAACATTAGAATTATGCTAGTCATTGGTGGCATTGAAACAAACCCTGGACCCGAATTGTTTGACCACCTCAACATTGCTCACATAAATATAAACAGTATCACTGCAGGGGATAAAAAACACGAGCTAATGCAATTTGTAAGCATGAATAGTATAATGTTATGCGCTCTTACCGAAACAAAACTTGATGATACGGTTTCTCCTTCGTTATACCAGCTCGATACTTACCATGCCCCTTTCGTTCGACACAGAGATAGAAATGGCGGAGGAGTTGCGTTATATGCTCACGCTTCGTTACCGATAAAGAGACTTAGAGATCTAGAGATCGGAGACGAAGAATGGATCTGGGCCAAAGTCTCGGTGCATAAACTTAGCTTGGTAATATGTTGCATATACTTACCACCAAATCAAACAACAGCCAGGTTACAACTGTTTATTGAGCGAATGACTGAAAGTGTTTCACTTGCACAGACCCACTCACCCACAGCTATAATAATATTAGGGGACTTCAACGCTGGAAATATATATCTAAATAGTACTAAACACAAGCATAGTGGCATCACAAACTTTGATCGCCAGCTTAACGACACTTTTAACATGCTAGACATGAAGCAACTCATATCACAGCCAACACGCATAACTGACAACGTCAGTAATCTGAGAGACTTAATTTTTACAAATAATACTGACATTATTCTACACAGTGACACGCTCTCAGCATTCTCAACTTTGGACCACCTTCCTGTAATCACATCACTGCGTACAACACACAGCTCATCAAACACTGACGTTACGTTTAAGACAATCTGGGACTATACGAGACTTGATGCTGATCTTTTTACCAGACTTCTTATAGACACGGACTGGGATCATATTATCGACAATGACGTAGACATAGCAGCGGAACAATTCACATCTGCCATCTTAAAAGCCGCCGAGACATCAATACCACATAAGAAGATACCAGTGAACCAGCGTAAAAAACCATGGGTGACATCAGACTTGATTAAACAAATAAGAAAGCGTGACAGACTCTTCAGACGGGCTAAACAGACTCAGACCACTTACGACTGGGAAAGATGGAAATATCAGCGTAACATCGTAACGGCGGTAAACAAACGACTAAGACAAACCCACATACAAAGCCAAGTTCAGAAACTCTTACAGCACAAACAAGACCCGCACAAGTACCACCAAACACTTCGCAAATTAACAGGTAAGACAGTTGACAGCATCATTCCACCGCTAGAAACGACTGACGGAAAAGTACTGACAGACGACTACGAAAAGGCGACATTGTTAAACGACTACTTTGCCAGTCAGGCAAAGCTCGACATTCCAAATTCGCACACCGTACCAATGGACAACATAGGACACACGCCGATGCCCACCCTCGGTACAATTGAGACAACTGAGAGAGAAGTCCTACGAATCTTAAACTCCCTTGACTCTAATAAATCCACTGGCCCAGACAAAATCCCAGTAAAAATATTAAAATTATGTGCACTCATCATAGCAGGCCCACTTTCGAAATTGTTTAATAAGTCTCTCGCGTCTGGAATTTATCCTTCAACGTTTAAACAGGCTAATGTGAAACCCATATATAAAAATAATGGATCACCATCTGATCATACCTGTTACCGACCCATCAGTCTTTTATCTTCCCTTTCAAAAGTTTTTGAAAAAATTGTCCACAAACGCATTTATGATCATTTAACAGAACACTTATTATTGACTGACAAACAGAGTGGATACCGGAAAAAGCACAGCACGGAACAACAATTACTTTATTTGACCCATAACATGCACAAATCACTCGACTCAGGACATGACTTCACAGTAGTTTACCTGGACATATCAAAATATTTTGACAAGATCTGGCACCAAGGACTATTATACAAATGCAAACATGACTTTGGCATAACTGACTCACTGTTAAAATGGTTGACTTCCTACCTCAGTGACAGACGACAACGAGTGCAAATAAACAACACCTTTTCGAACCAACAAATTGTTAACGCTGGCTGTCCTCAAGGCTCTGTACTCGGACCTCTCTTAGCCTTAATGTATCTTGACGGAATTCAACAAAATATCGACAATGAAATTTTACTTTTCGCAGACGACACATCTCTCCACGCATCCCACTCAAAGACAGACCTCCACGACGTAGAACTTTCACTTCAACGCGACCTTGACGAAATATATAAATATGGCAGAAAATGGGCAATTACATTCAACACAGCAAAGACAGTCCAGCAAACATTTTCACGAAGAAATAATTTCACAGCACCACGTCTCACATTTGGTAGGAATCCCATACCCATTCATGAAAACCACACTCATCTGGGATTAACGTTCTCTAATGACCTACATTTTCACCATCACATCAACAAAATTTGTAAAAAGGTCAACAAATCACTAAGCCCACTATATCCAATTGCACAGTACGTACCCAGGCCCATTCTCGACCAAATTTATAAGACGTATATCAGACCACACTTCGACTATTGCGACACAGTATACGACGGACATATCACGACACACGACGCTATGCGACTCGAGAGACTACAAAACAGAGCGGCAAGACTCGTGACAGCAACCTTATTTAGAACACCGACTGACAAGCTTTTACTCGACTTAGGGTGGGATAGACTATCGACGAGAAGATGCATGCATAGAATAACACTTTATCACTCATTCAACAGCCACGAAGAGTACACACCACAATATATTAAAAATACAATGCCTCACACACGCGCTGAAAACACCGGACGAGTCTTAAGGAATGCCAGTACACATACAACAACACCTAGCCGGACCACTTCGTACCATAATTCATTCTTTCCATTAACGGCTAAACACTGGAATGATCTCCCCGAAACCATCCGATCCCTGCCACGAACATCCTTCAAAAAGACCATTTCTGAGCGGCTGGGGGTGACCAAGCCTCCGAAATTTTATGAAACTGGGTCTAAATTGGGAAATATTTTACACACAAGACTAAGAACCGGAATGAGTCACCTGAACTCTCATCTCTTCCAAATTCGAAAAAGTGAAACATCAATGTGTGCTTGTGGCTTTCTAAACGAGAACGTTCGGCATTATATCCTTGACTGTCCACTCTACGAACCACTAAGGCTAGAAATGTTTCAAACTATTTCTTATCAAATAGGTATTGAACTAAATGAAATTTCTCCTAAGCAAAAACTTGACTTCCTTATTCACGGTGAAACTCTGGACGATGAGAGCGGCTGCGCGGTCGCACATCTCTTTCAAAAATTCATTTTATCATCAAACCGGTTTACAGAACACTAAATTCAACACCAAGATACCACCTTGATCTAGGTTGTAAGGCTGCGGTTGGACGTGGCGCTCCGGGCTGACCGTGCGGTGGCTCGCGCACGCTTCTTTACTGCTCGGTGTCTGTCGTGGCGGCGACAGCCAACTCGTATGCTTTGAGTTTTGCCTATCAAATGTTTTCTGTATTTTAAGTTCAGGATCTCATCTGGTATGTTTTTGTCTGTTTGTTTGTATTTTCTTCTTCCAGAGCGATGCTCAAACTCAAGCGCTTTGCGCTTTTGCATCCCTCTGCTGCATTCTTCCGGAATCTTTCTGTCTCTGATAATAAACATTGTGTGTGTGTGTGTGTGTGTGTGTGTGTGTGTGTGTGTGTGTGTGTGTGTGTGTGTGTGTGTGTGTGTGTGTGTGTGTGTGTGTGTGTGTATGGATTACTGAAAATTTTCTCAAATCCTTTTCAGCTGGGATGAGTTTGTGCCAGAGAGTCGTATCCTGAAACACAATGAAGCAAATCTTCAGAAGCAAAAGGAGCTGAAAGATGCTCACTAGTGAGTACCTTCATATGAGTACCTTCATATCAAGATGTCTGTCTTTTTTTATAAATTTAGTCCGAATGGTTGAATGGGTGGATTTGAGGAATCAGAGCCCGCACTAAGCATGGCTTGTTGTGCTGACCCTGACCCCACCACCCGATCGCGCAATTCCAGTTGTATGGCAGAATTTTGTCCGAACGTTTAACGTGCCCTCACGACTGGACACGGCCCCCTCCGCTCACTCACGTTACCTGGCTTCTGTGCGGCCCCTGCCACAGACATGCACGCCATTACACGTAGGAGCTAAATGTGGCCGCCCGCGCCGGAGCTTGAACCGGGCTCTCACTACCGGCAAAGCGTCGGACTCCGGCGCTTTAATCCACTCGGCCACGGAGGGGACAAAGGTCTTAGCATGATTAGATGAATATATTCATAGATATTCAGTAGTCATTTATATGCTATGTCATAGATAACAGTAGAACAGTAGTTCTACTGTTATCTATGGCTAATTGTGTTATGCAGCACCTTCAGTTTATACCACTGTGTGCCCACCTGTTTCAGCAACGAGGCGCCATCTCCACCCAGCCCATCATTGACAGCTGCCGCTCCGACCACCATCCCCTCTCTGATTGGTCCTGTGGTTCCACAGCGCCAACGTCCAGGCCAAGAAGCAGATCAAGTCGGACGCCAAGAAGCGGCGCGCCGAGGCGGCGGCGGCCGCCGCTGCCGCCGCCGCCGCCGCCTCTGCGTCGGGCCCGTCCTCTTCGACGTCGTCTGGCGGCGGCGAGTCGAGCGGCCGGCAGCGGGAGCCGTCTGTCAGCAGCGTGCAGAGCAGCGAGGACGGCCGCCGGCGGCGGCGGCTCGACACGCCCGAGCAGGTGAGCGCCGGCCCGCGCCGGCCCGGTGGTGGCTGACCGCCCCAGCCCGCACATGGAGCGCGGCGCCCGGCTTCAGCTGCGGGTGGCACTGACGGCTGCACGGGGCGCACCAGGCGCGCTTGTTTCTGTTGTCGCTGGGAGCTGCTGAGAGGCGTAGAGGCCACAGTAACGTCATTCTAACCAAATCACATTCTTATCTCAGAGCAGTTTTGAGCAACCTTCTCAATTGATAGATAGTTGACGTTCCACATCACTTTTGCCCTAGTGTGAGAATTTGTTGGAAATCATACAAATGCTTAAAACCGAATGTTTTTCACGTCCTTGAAATACGTCCGGATTCCTTTCTGTGTGTTGCGTATGTCCTCAGCAGGGTTTTCCTATCCTTTTAACCGTGGTCTGGCATCCTATACAAAATAGGTAATGTAAAGGTTAAACAGTCTAATAATCGCTGTAAGTGATACATAGCAATATACTTCATACTATTAGCAGTTAATAGTTTTACTTGGTTTACTATTGTTTTGCTTTGCTTTTTGTTCTTTGGCTTCAGTTTGAAAACTATCAGTATTTAGCACGCTTTCTTCTTTTAACATACTGTCAAACTTTTTGACGTTGCTGAAGCTTCGTAGCTTTACCCGGTTAGAATGGCGTTTGGTTTGGCTTTTGGCATTCTCAGAATGCTGCAACTAAGTCACAATTTCTACTTTTTTGGTAAACATACACGAAGTCTCGGCAACTATTTTCTGTCGCAGTCGGCAGCCGCCGCGCCGTTCCTTATGTACAGCGCCTGTCTGGCAATGCTGACCCGCCGCGGTAGCCTGAGTGGTCTGTAGCACGTCCTGTCCGGCTGCGACTCATACACGGCTACCAACGGCCGGCTGCCGCTCGCCCACTGACCCCAGGCGGAGCGGGCCGCCGCCCTCTGGCCGGCCCGGCCGCTGAGCGTGTCTCCCCTCCCCCTCTCTCCATCTGTTCTCTCTGTATGTACACGTGTTGCGGCCACGCATGTGCCCACGTCCGTCGCCCCGGCTCACGCTTGTCTTTCCTGTCTTTGGCACACGCGTGCGCTGGTCGCGCCATTGCAGACGCCCAAAGCTGTGGAGGATAAGAAGTTGGTGGATTCGTCTTCGGAAACTGTGAGTGGTGGGCGGCTGACTCTCCCGTTTTACAGAGCAGTGCGCGCCCGGGCACGCCCCAACCCCACCCATCGGTGTGTTAGGGAGCGCGGAAACATCAAAAGCTGGGCTAACATTGGTGGGTGCGAGCTTAGAAGCGGCTCATGGGTACCAGCTGTAATATACTGTGGAATGTATGCAGAAAGGTGGGCTCGGATTTTCGTTGCGCTTTTGATGCCATGGTACAATCATGTGCACTCGTACAGCACTTGTGGAGTTCATGGCCTGTCTGTATCCCTGAGCATTTTAATATGCTGGGCCCCCCGGTTAACGCTACAAATGCATGCAGTTATGGAGCATGATGAGCATAACGTCCCGTTCACTTTGTACTGATGCCGAGGTGCGTATAGCGTACACTCCGTACCGCTGCTGTTAACCAGCTCCACTGGCCACCCGTTCGGCGCTGGTGCGTGTCTGTCGGCGTGCTGTCTGCGTGTTTGACCTGACCTCGGCGCCGTTCTGATGTGACCATCCCGATCCAACAGGCCTCCGATACGGAGGGTCGTAGGAAGGGTCGTCAGGAGCAGACCGTCGAAACGGTGAGCTGAGCCGCGGGCCTGCGGGCCATGACCGAAGCGGGAACACCGCGGTCAAACTGAATCAGGCGGGAATAGAGGGGGACCCGGGATGGAATTGGATGAATGCCATTTGATACAGTAGCGACCCGAATCTAGATAGCACAGGGAATCCATCTTCGATATGATGTATCGTCATTGTGGTAACGGTAAGCGTTAAACGCGTCCGTCTTTCTCAGGAGGAGCAGTTTTTGACGAAGGTGGAGGTGAAGATTAAGCTGCCCGATGAGCTGAAGCCGTGGCTAGTGGATGACTGGGACTTCGTCATCAGACAGAAAAAGGTACTTTTCTCGACACAGCTGATCAGCTTTTGCAAAGCTTGTCATAGCATGTTCAATTAGTTAGCCCGTGAATTTTGTCAACGAAAGCTGGTTTTTCTCCGTTGGCATGTATTTTTCCAGCAATGGTATGCTCGTCGCCAGGCACATGTGAGTTGTATTCAGTGGGATTCGTTGCTCGGTATTATCTGCTCCGCACGCGCTGTCTCATCCAAGACCCTTCAGTTTTATGCCCGTCTATCTTTCAGCTGTACAACCTGCCGGCTCGGATTACCGTGAACCAGTTCATCAGCGAGTATGTCAAGATGAAAAACTCGAGCAAGTCGAGTACGCCCAACAAGTAAGTCACATTCTATGCATCGGGGCTCATCACCTGGCGACTTATTTCTCGATCTGAGCTTTCCTTTTAGCAAAGCTGGTCCCAATTTTATGCTTATGCTCTTGGCGCTCTTGAACTCGTCTATATCGATTATCGACTACCCTATACGCATGGTTTTGCGCCCACGACATGAAGGTCAACGCAGCAAAAAGTCAGCTCATCGTCTTGGGAACGCGTCAGATGCTGAAAGGCATGCCAACTATCAGTGTGAATTTCGCCGGCACGACCATCCGTGAGTCCGACTGGGTTACTACCTGGGCATTGTCATGGATAAGCACCTATCATTTCACGACCATGTCAGTCGCCTCGTCTCTAGATCCACCGGGACATTATTAGCTTTAAACCACGCAAAACATGTTCTGCCGCCCCACGTAATCGTGCCCATTGTCACCTCGCTCGTTGTTTCCCGACTCCGCTACTGCATCGCTGTTTACGGTACCTGTGGTGCTACGGAGTTGCACCGCGTTCAGAAAATACTGAATTTTTGCGCGCGAGTTGTGAGCGGGCGGAGGAAATATGACAGAGTGTCGGATGTGTTACGCGATCTGCAGTGGCTCACTGCACCAGACATGGCCCTGTATCATCGAATGTGCTCTGTACACCGCATTGTGGAGACACAACAGCCGACTGCGATGGCAAGCAAGTTGGACAGAGCGTCCGACCAGGGTCACAACACGCGAAATGCGAACCGGTTCAGGCTGCCACGAATTCGAACAGAGGCAGGCAGGCGGCAACTTTTGTATAGCGGTGTCTCGGAGTACAACGAATTCATGCACCGTTACAATGGTCGTCCAGCATTCAAAACCGCCGTGAAACGCTACTTGCTGGGGCGTGATTCAAACTGAATGATTGATTGACTTGTATGCATGTGTGTGCTTGTGCTTGAATTGTGTGTATCTGTTTTGCTATGTCAACTCTTTTTAACGTTTGACGTTACGTTGATGAAAAGCCGCAATAGCGGATTTAACGTGAATACAATGAATCTGAATCTGAATCTATCCCTCTCTTTTCGTCAGCTTTCGGGCGCCTTTCTCGCACAAGAAGGGCTCAACTATCACTGCCGCCGGCGTCACCCCTCCCCCTCTCTCCTGCCACAGGGAGAGCGCCGTGATCGAGGTCACTGAGGGTCTGAAGGAGTACTTTAACGTGATGCTGGGCACCCAGCTGCTGTACAAGTTCGAGCGGGTCCAGTACGCCGACATCCTACAGAGTCACAAGGACACGCCGCTTTCCGAGATCTACGGGCCGGTGCACATTCTGCGTCTGCTGGGTAGGTGGCGCGCCGGCCGGCGAGAGGAGCCCTGTCGCAGCGGTGTGGTGGAACTGGGGATCAGGCGGTCGGTGGACCTCTAGATTGTTTGGTGGCTGATATGGATGGTTTTGTAGGAGCACGGACTTGTAAGCCGTATGCTGTGCGCTGGCGGGTGAGCTGTAGGTATGTTGTGCGCAGGCTGTTAGCTCACCGGTCCTGTATATACTGTGAAGTCCCTAACTGCTATTACTGTTCTGTGACGCTGACCGGCTTACTGTTGACGCCCGATCAGTTGCCCTGTGATGTTGACCCGCCTGACCGGTGGTGTTCTGTGATGTTACAGTGAAGATGGGTCCGATGCTGACCTACACTCAGCTGGACGAGAAGAGCATAGCCCTGCTACAGGCACACATACAGGACCTTCTCAGGTAAGGAGCACTCTCCGGCTGGCTTATATGAGGGACAAACGTAAGGTTTAGAATAAATCATCATCAAGTCATGCGAGCATGAACGTGCGGCGCCGTATGTTGCCAATATAAAGGTTTTGGGCCGTCAAATTTGGTGGTAAACCCTCGACCTGAATGGATCTACATATTTGGTCGGTCTGTGTGACTGGTTTCTATAGTTTCCGTTGTTGACCAATGACACCTGTGATCCACAGGTACATGGTGCGCAACTCTGAGCGTCTGTTCAGCACTGACGACTACTACGTGGCGCCGCCCGAGTACCACCGGCGCGGCATGTAGCGGCCAGCTGTGCTGACTGCTGCTCGCGGAGACCGCTGAACACGACCTCCGTGTGAGGACGGCGGCGGGTGGACGGATCGCTGACAGGTCAGTCAGCCGCTCGCCGGCGGATCTCTGAGAGTGACTGGCGCTGACTTATTCTCTGAGAGAGGTCGGACGACTAGTTACCGTCTCTGACGGCCCCAGTGATCAGTACCGAACCCTGGTGGGTAGTTCAGAAGTCAGCGGTCACTTTCCTCCGTACTGAGGCACAGATGGCCCCACGTCTGCGCCGGGAGAGCTTCTCACTACAATGTGAGAGGGCTGCAGTGATGTCGGAGGTGGTCAAGTCCAGAAACTGAGCTGACCAATCTACGGCTGAAAATACGGCTCGTAAATAACCGTCGTGGCAGCACCATAGAGAAGAGGGATTTGTTTCGAGAGACCTGAGCGATATAACCAACAGGGTGGGTTAAATTAAGTGCGGGCGACAACCAGCGAGTGACTAGGAATTAGAATGTGTCAATTTCGACGGACTGGGGTCTCATCCGTTGGTCAAGGGGTCGTCCGGCTGGTGACCTGTCATTGGCTGACGAGGAAGCGCTCTCGTTTCGTGAAGTACAAGTGGCCGTTGTTTTGGTGTCGTGTCGTTCGTTGTATAATCGCGCTGTAGTGGATGTTGTTTTTCGTACTATCGTACTATGTGATGTGTGTTGGGCCCGCGCGCAGCGCACGTGTATTCATCATCTCTGACTTCGCCTCGTTGCCATATGGTATGGTGTTCATGGTGGTCATTTGTGAGAGGCTGTACCATTTGTTCTCATGTGGAAATGGTTGGTAATCTGTCTGTCTGTCGCGCGAGGGAAGTGAAAATTGACTTATGAACGCGTCTTACATGCATGTGTTATGTATTCCAGTCCGGTGTAAACTGTTTTGAGCCCTTTACCGGATATGCCTTTCTAGTACAGTACCAAGCTGTGACAGTTTTGTGAACTGAGAAGATTGGCTCCCATTTTGTATTCCAGAAAATTATTGTTTTGTAGCTTGCTAGAATGACGTCAGTGGGAAGTGAATTGGGGACTGGGCCTGCCCCCGCGGCCCTGTCGTGCCTGTTTTGCGCCCAGTGGCCGGGTACGTCTGACCCGTTCTGTAATTCGTGCGCTGTAACGTTTTAATGTTGACTTGTGAAGTCTCTGAAAATACAAGATTCGGAAGTAGTTTGTCTGTGGTCTCCCTAAGTCGGACTATCTGGTGTTTCATCTTTAGGAAAATACTCAGTTTTGTGACCAGTTTGTTGTCGCTGTGGCTATCTTGTCACGATATACAATGCTGAATGGATCGCTTTGCACAGTTCTGTTATTATAGGCCTACATGTTACATGAGAAACACGCAATTGATATGACCCCATAAGTTGGTATGCAGGGTTAGGAGATGCCTTCATGTATCACTTTACTGAAGTCTGAAATGGGTGATATTGGCGCTGGGTGCTAAATTATATTGCTATGCGCTGCCTCAAGCTGAGATGTTGTATTCAGTTTATCGTGAAACGGGGATCCTATTTCAAACCAGGCTAAAATCGGAAACCGTTTTGATCCCGGGTGGCGCGCGAGCCCGATGCCAGCACCGCAGCTAATGATCCCTGCTTGTGTGGGCGCGGAACGGGCGCACTCTGGCGCCCGTCCAGTGTAAACCGCCCAGCCGAGTGCCAATTTAACGGACCAACTCTCCAGCAGCGCGCTACATTCCCGTCCAGAAGCTAGGCTTCAGAGTCTCAGACTGACCCAGACTTACAGACATCCAGTGCTGTAAGACGTGCGTGTAGAAGGTTAAATCACCGTTTTTTTAATGGCATCTGTCTATGCCGTAATGTCAGCGCCTAATTTGGTGGCGCAACTCTGATTGCTCTCCGTAATTATTTACGATATTTTGTTCCGCTGATCAATAAAATCCATTAAAGACTGAACAGAATTCGGAACATGCATGTGCTCAGTGCAGATTTGATGTGCATGCCACCGAAATCATTGACTTGTTTCTGCTCGTACCGAATCAATTGATCGTTTACACCGAATCCAATCCTCCGTCTACAAATACATCAGAAAAGTGTGAGCGGGCAGACGCTCCGCCATTCTCTGGTCTAGTCTTACTCGAACCGTTAGCTCCGGCGGCGGGTCCGTCTGTATATATGGTGCCGCCCTCGGCTCCCAGCTCGCCGCCGAGGCGCCGGTGCCTCACCTGTTGTATACGTTAGACTTGGCAGCGGGCTGGCCGCCAGACACCGAGCATCTGTGCGGCCACATCGGCCCCGCTGCCACCGGCGGCGGCGGCGGCGCTATTTCAGGAGCGAGCCGCGCCAACACCCAGGCCAGGCCGGCGTTCGGAGGAAACGTGCAGCATTTCACGACAACTTGCCAGCGTCGGCAAAACGTGCGTGGGTAAACCGCTAACGAGACCGTTCAGTGGAGTGGTCTGCCCGGTAAACAAATTAATTACACCCGACCCCCTCGGTCGGCCCGGTTTTTGTTGGACCGCGCGAGCTGGCCCGTGCCACGCGAGGGGTGAGGTCGCGCACGCCGTTTGGGGTAGTCTCGGATCACGGAGTTGGGTTTCAGCAGTTGAACTTTGTTCAGCAGGAGGATGCTGCTGGCGTAAGATTGCAGTGGAAAGCTTGCCAAACTCGCATGGGGATGGAAATATTTCATATTTGCAGGGAAGTTTTCCCACCAAACACATATTGGTAAGATGATTGTAGATCAAGGCCGCCTGAAGTAATTGTTTCCACCCCTTGTTATTGGTGTAGCTTTATATTTAGCCTGTTGCATGATAAACTCTCCTTTTTCCTCCTCGCCCTCGGTCTCGTCCGATCACAGCTTGTTTCGCTGCATTGTGAAATGGAGCTCACCACTCACCAGTGATGTGATGTGGTGGTGACCTTGTGGAAGCTCTATTTAACACAATCTCCTGACAGCAGCCTCCGGTCGCAAGTGTCAGCTGTGAACGTCACTAAAATTCATCCGCGTATGGAGACGACCGCATTTTTGATTAACTGATTAACTGATTAAACAATATGCTCGACCGTCTAGACCCCTGGCGATCACCCAGTCTCTTCCTTCCTTGTCTCTCTCCTTCCCTCCCTGTCGCTCCCAACTCCTCTCAGTCCCTCCTCTCTCCCTTCTGTCCCAGTGTCCCATTCCGCCATACTCTCATATTGGTCCTCCGGTACCAACCGTGTATCAAACTGATCAGCGTTGTTCGCAGTGAAATTGAGCGGTCCGATCAAACGCCCGTGTCCGGCCGGGGCCGCGGCTTCCTGGCCGCTCGGTGATGGCTTTGAGAGGCCCGGGATCAGACCGCCATCAGCGGATGAAGGGTGCCGGCCGTGCTCACTCAATGTCGAAACCAGCTGCTGCATCTCACGGCGCGCCGTCCGGCCGTCAGAGGCTGTCTCGCTCCCCGCCTGCAGGCTTCTCTTTGCTCTTCGTGCCCTGCCGGTCCCCCGCCCTGTCTGTAATCCCGACCCGTTCCCCGCCCTATCTGCCCTGCAGGCTGTCTTTTCCCCCCGCTCTCCCTGCCCTGTCTGTAATCCCGGCCTGTCCGACACTTGCAGACTGTCTGTTCCCCGGCCCCACCCTTCCACTCTGTCTGTCATATCGGTCTTCCCCGTCCTGTCTGCTCTACAGGCTGTGCTGACTCCCGCTTTCCCTGTTCTGTCTGTAAGTCTGCCCCTCCCCCTGTCTGCCCTGCAGGCTGTCTGGCCTTTTGCCCTGTCTGTAACCCCGCACTGTCTGTCCTGCAGGTTGTCTGGCTCCCGCTCTCTCCATCCTGTCTGTAACCCCGCCCCTTGTTGCCCTGTCTGGCAGCAGCACCCCGTCACCTGCAGCCCCCCCCCCCCGCCCTCCTACCCTACCCGACCACACCGCGCCGGCCCGGCGTCCCCCTGCAGGGCACACTCTGCGCCAACTCCCCCCTGCCCCTCCCCTCACCCCGCCCCGTCCCGCCCGCTGCCCCTGTCGCCACTGCACTGCTGCGCTGGCGCTCGCCGTGATATCTGTTGGACCTCTGTCGTGTCATCGGCCGGTCCGGAGACACCTAAACACTCTGCCAACTGACATCACCGCCATACAAATGATACCGGGTCAAAGCGACGACGCCGCGCTCAGCAGCCCTCGGACTGCTCGCACAGGCGGAGCCAGGTCGTAGTTTTGGGAGGTCGGTATGTAGGTCATGTGCAACACGATAGGCGTGATTTAAGATGTGACGCATTTTTAGACAGAAGAGTTACTCGTCTCCATTGCCGGCCATTGATCCATTTGCACCCATCTCTGGCTGATTCCAGAAATATGAATCTAGTCGTCCTTTTTTGGTGCTGACGACTCTGTCTACGTGATGCGACCATCGTTCCATTTTTGGTTTTCACCCCCAAGTGATGATCAAAGATCGCACATTACACTTCGGCTGGTATGCATCTCTGGGGTGGTGCTGTCCCCCAGGGGCGGTGCCGCCCCTCAGGGACGGTGCCGCCCCCCCCCCCTCCCTCCCCCGGGGGACGCGCTCGGCCCCTGACAGGGAGGCGGTGGTCTCACCTCACCTGGCCTCGGGCCAGCTCGGATGGGGGTGGCTCCCCCCCCTGGTCGGTATTTTTGCCACCTGGCAGGCGGGGCGTCGGAGCCGTGCTGCCGTTGGCACAGCTCACAAACCAAGTCCGCCGCCGACGGCACGAGGAATGTCGAGCTCGACGAGCGAAAAATGGCCGGTAATTTTCGTTTTTTGCCTCCGTGCTGTTTTGCTAGGCTAAGCGTAATTTGGTTCAGGAAGGAAGCGTGGACTGTTGGGTGTTTGAACTTTGAAGCGTGCGTATTTATTCCAATTGTATTTCCTGTAGATCTGTAATTTAAGATGTACCATTTTAATACGTTCATCGGCCGGTTAATCTTCGTAATAAATTCCCGGAGGAAGCGTAAAATACTTACTGGGTCATGAAGTGCTCGTGTTACCTCCCTGCCGTCGTCGGATAGGTAAGTAAAATTGCGCGTAAGCAAAAAAAAAAGAAAAGAAAAAAAATGGAAACCTTTGCAATGGAACTTGAGCTTTGAGCATTTTTAACCGTATCCGCTATCCGAAGTCGACACGTAGCAACTTGAAACCAGAAGCCCTATGTGTATTAGACACATGGCTATGATCAGGCCAGAGGTCTAGCCCCTCAACAAACAACCATCACGGTTAGATCTGTGTCAGATTGTGAGATGCATCCGAACCAGGTCTGCAACAACATTCGAAGCACATGCAACACACCACCTTGACACAACAGTGGTCTGCAAGGGCCGGGGCCCTTCACGGAATAATTATAGCGGTGACTGCATACTATAGATAACTACATTATGGCCACGGCTGCAACTGACGTCACATTAGTCCGTGGTCCCGCAATGTAAGGATTGGCCCGTCTTCTCAACTCGGAGATAAGCTACAGAAGCAAAAGCTGTAAGTACCAGACGAAAAGGTTTCAGCTAAACATTCTAAAGAATCTAGAAAGTTGGCAGTCCGAAGCGAAAGCAATGCCTCCCAATTTATCGAGAATGGGTCTTAGAACCTTACGGCCTAGACTCACCGAATCAATTCTCTGCAATATCAGATAGAGGACAGCGTGCATACAATAAATCATGGTCCATCCATGCAAAGTATGCTCGTGAGAAGGCTACGCATGAGTCATGAACCGAGCTTCAGCATTGCTGTAGCTGCGACAGCCCCGGTCGCTGTCTGACGCCATAAGCCCGTCCCGTGTGTCGTCGCTGCAGTCTCCGTGTGACATATGACGACGTCCAAATCAGCGGCTTTTTTTTTAATAAATTTAGTCCGAACCTTTTGATAGGAAAGATTCACAAGGACAGAGCCACCGCTAAGCGATGCTTGTTGCGGTTACCCTGCCCTCTACCCTCCGATCGTGCAATTCCAGGTCTATGGCAGAATTTAGAGTCCAAAGTTTAACGTGCGCACATAGCCGCGCACGGCCGGTCCCCTCACTGACTTCGCCTGGCTACGGCCTGCCACCAACCGCAACCATACCTGTCAGGAGGCCCATAAATGTCAAGCGGCCGTCGCGCTTCGAACCCGGACTGTTTTAACCGGGAACGCGTGCTCTCACCACGCGGAGTCCAACGCTCTACCAACTGAGCTACGGGACCGGGGCCGGCATTAGTGGTCCCGGTGAGGCAATCAGTCCCTC